TCCGTGTGACAATATGTTCGTCATTAATAATTTCTTGATGTGCAAAAAGTGACCTGAAATTCCTCCTAAGGGTTGATTTGAGGTGACATTTTAAAAAGTTTCAATTGAACCATATTTCTTATACCTTATACAGATAGTTGCAGCTATGAAGGATATGAGATATGGTAAAGCGGCAAGTGTAGATGATATTCCAGTGTATCTTTCGAAGTTCTCGCAAGAAAAATGTTGAAAGCTTTTGTTATTATGCACAGTGTAGAATCTAAGATCTTTTGGATAAAAAAATTGAGCGCCAATATTGTCGCCATGTTTTTATAATATTTCTGGTCACCAGTGGCGTATCAAACTTACGGTTTTTTCACCAGCCCATATTTTATTAGATTTGGAAAGTACTCCAAAAATACTGATTTTTTTATGTATTAACATAGATATTCAGTTCCGTGATATATCAAAAACGTCAACGTTAATTAGCCAAACAACGTTATTTTGCATTATTTAGTATGGAGAAAATAACGTTTTCTACAGATAACCTACACGTTAAGTTTAACGTTTGCGATATCACCGGGCTGATTATACCCTTACGTTTTACGATTTCGCTGTTATTAATTTTAAAACTATACAGAGTCTTGCGGAAACGTAATTGTTTACATAAAAGACTTTTAAAAATGAAACTTTTTTCAATGGTACTGAAGTGATCGTCCTTAATAAATTAAAATTGGTATAAGAACGCTATGTAAATTTTAACATAATGATTTATCTAAACTAATGGTTCTAGACAAGCGTTCATAAACGGACGATATTTATTTGACGCAGTTTCGAAGCTATACATTTTCGTAACTTGTCACATAAACAAACTGACTGATTGTCTAAACAGAACAGAAATGCTTGTTCACGTTTGGTATAGTTTCCAGAAAGTAATAAATAGAAACTGAAATAGATATTTAACTTGTAAACAAAGCGCTCGGGAGGTAGTCAAGAAGAGGCATTTGTAGGAAACCCACTAAGTAGATATATGAAACTGAGGGCGATTCAATGAAATTCACCCAGTGAAGATATAGTACAAATGTAGAAGTTGCGATAGGGAATGCTCATTTGTAAAGTTACCGTGGTGCAATATTGCACGCCAAATTGACTAGGGTTTTGGATCAAATGCGGCTAATTCTCTTTTTGCGCCAGCGCCGCTAAACGAATGATTAATGTTAAGTGACTCTTGACTTTTTTACGCTTTTAATAGTAATGGCAGAGACATGGTATTAATTTTCATTAGTTCACCGGTTTTAGAGCTATCTACAGCAATGCTGACCCCGCAAATTCAGCTTTTTTCCTATGGAATGCTTAGTTTGCAACGTAGTATATGTAACCTAATATGACCTGTTTCCAGAGTGTAAATCAACACCAACATTCGATAATGGGACGCCGGATTCAATTTAGAACATTCATCGTGTGACAAAAGGTAGAAAGCTGGCCATATTACAATCGATAATGTAAAAATTTGAACGTAAAATAAGTAATATTTCTTTGGTTGAATGTTCCTGAGACCTTGACTCTTTTTAAACTCCTTTCTCATAGTGCAAAGGAAAAATTGCAAAAAATGTTATGCAAATAAATGCTCTCGTTACAATGTTGTTTATTAAAAAAGTGTTGGGAAGGTTTACAACCACTAATCGAAAATGATACACGACACGGCTATCCCAAGCCATAATTTGTTTAGGGGGGAGCCATTTGAAATTTAAAAAATGCATGACACTTGGCGAAGGTGAACATTTGGTAATTTGGTATTGAGAAATAATTACTCATTTAACTTGCTATTAATCATGTGGAAATTGTCATTCAGCGTTTGTGCACTTTTTATAACCAAAGTCCAATGCACGTGTTTAACCGAGAATAATTAGGTTAGGCCAACGTAATGGATTTTTATAATTAGTAGTAATCAGGTTTAGTCAGATGTAAGGAAGTTGAATATTAATAATTATATGAAAGCATGAAGAGAGTTTCTTAATTGGGAATAAGTTTACTACAGAATCAAGGATTTCCTTTTTTCGATAAAGAACCTAAAAAAAGTATGTGAAAGATGGAAGGAGTCCTCTGTCTTAATTAAAAAGCCGGTGCGGTTTAGTTACTGAGAAAACAATTTTTTGAAGAAAAATGGTTTTAACGCGAATTCGTTAATTCCGATTACTTCCGAAGATGTGCCAGAAAAACAGAAATTTTCCGATTTTGGATTTATTTTTTCTGATGTTATTTAAACAGATATAAAAAAATATGAAAAAACAGTTTCTCATTGCCACTGTTTGAGTTCTACAAGACAGCGTTGAGACAACGTTTCGTTTTGGGGAAATCATCATCAACTTTATTTTTTCTATGGCCCGTCAAAAAGTACATACTGTATTGAGACTTTTTTATTACGAATAATATGGCACACAAAGAAAATGGAAGGTGAAACTGTTTGTTTTAACAGGATGGTGCACCCGCGCACAACGTTTGCGCAATTCGTGTGAGAATACCTATCAGACTCATTTTCTCGAGATCCGTTATAGTTTTATTAAAGAGCTCCTAAGCGAGTTCATGATTTTGGAGTTTCTGTCTGTCTATCCGTCCGTTCGTCTGTGTACATGATAACTCGCGAACGGTTTCGAATTTTCCAATTCTGTTGTCAGTATTATATTTATCATCCCCCAGCAAGAATTGATTAAAATTTCAGTGACCCAGGAGCTCCCGTCCGTCCGTTCGTCCGTATGTAACAAATATAGTAAACGAGCTCCTGGGCCACTGAAAATTTAATCAGTTCTAACAATACAAAGGCCACCTCTTAAAACGAAATACAATTTTCTTATTCTTCTCGATTCTAGGAAGCTTCGTTCATTTTGAAAATATGGGGTGAACGCATTTGACCGGCAGAAAGGGCCAAATCCGACCGAGAAAAGGAAGGTTTAGAACATCGCCAGGATCGTCAGCATTTGCAATGTATCACTAACGTTAAACTTAACGTGCAGGTTATCTGTTGAAAACGTTATTTTGGCCATACTAAATAACGCAAAATAACGTTTTTTGGCAGATAACCTGCACGTTAAGTTCTATTTTAGACTCCGTTTCCTGAGCCCATTTTGAAATATTTACGGTTATATCTAGGGGAAGATTTTTTACCACGGGAAACTAGGCGTCCTCCAGTTTTGGTTAATTTTAAAGAACAGGCGATCGGTTCTTCAATGATTGTATAAATGAGCTTTCATGTTGATGTCGCCTCCACAGCGATAGCACAATCACAATAAAAACTTATTGTGAAGTCATAGTCAACTAGAGAGACCCTTTTATAAATCATAATGGGAAAACAAGAACGAAGTTTAACTAAGGGTAAATGTGGACACATAAGCTCAAGTTTTTCTCACGATCACCCCGAGCTCCTTAAGCACCTGTCAATTTCCTCTCAAGTTTCTATGAAATTCTTTTCAATCGAGTTCTTCTTATGTTCCCTTCCAGTTCCTCTCCAAGTTCTTCTCAAGTAGGAACGTCCTAAGTTCTTAATCTACTCAAGGTTATTTTAGGCTTTCAAATTCAGTGATTATTCCCATCAACAAAAAAATTGCCCGAACAGTTCAAATTTGCATTGAATCATTTCTCATGACTTCATATTCAGTCCACGCATATTTTATAATTTCAATGGCACACGGGTTCGCATGTTACGACCTTTGAAGGTTTATTTAAGCCTGTAACCACAATTACATTTGATTTATGATTTCCTTTATTTGGTTAGATTTCAAATTAGTAGTTTGAAATTCAATGCATAACACCGCTCACCACCATTTGAAATTTTTAACGTGGACGGATTAAATGGACAATTTGAGAATGTTGTGAAATTTGGCATCTCGTCTAAGAATAGTCACATTGTTGGTTTATTGTATTTGAATTTGTTATTTCCGTGTCTATTTTTCCTTTTAGAATTGTTTGTAATTGCGTAACATTTTCTTGTTTAAATTTGTAATTGATTAAATTTAGATAAGATGCTATAACTTGGACAGATCAGGTCAAATAAAATGTGTGTTTTTAAGGATAGTCTTCTAGTTTTAAGTTTCTTCCGCCCGACGAGTCATCGAAAATTTAATCATCTTAGTTAATTAGAGAAACGACAAACTGTAAGCAATTTGAGATTTTTAATTATTTACCGCTTGCGTGCGGAGTATTATGCCCAATCAAGCTTTGTAAGCCTTTCTTTGGATTTATTTGTTTCATGTGTGTCGGAATAAATTTAAGTCATTGTCAATCAATTCATCGTGTTTATTCGAATATTTTGTGCAACTCAGATAGAGTCTTCATGTCAGATTTATCTTTTCGTGCTCAAAATTTATTTCAGGTGCCATCAAAAGTTGTGTAATAAATTCTTTGGATATCTCGGACGTTGATCGAGGCTCTCCGATTTATTTCAATAATCAAAAAATTTCACTATCAACATTCCAAATGAATGTATAAGTTCCCTAAAAAGGGTTGAATCTAATTCGGCCTTTTCCTAAGTTTTCATCTCATCCATTAAGTACCAATTTACTGAGAATTATTTTTCAAAAACTTCGAAATTAAGTCAAGTACGAGTACATTTTCTTTTAATCGTCCAACGGTTGCATTCACCTATAAATAATTAAACAAATTCCGCTGAAGCCGGTCAATTTCTAAAAAAATGAACGCATGCAAATCAAGGGAATGCAGTTTAAATCGTGCAATAAGATTAGTCAACATTTCAGTAGTAGATATTTCGATTTTGTGGGGACGGGTTGTGACCCGAGAGGAAGTGGGGTTACTACTCAGTTGTGGTACTCTATTAATGAGTCATTTTTCATTACGATAATCGTGAAAAAACCTTGAGGAGATAAGATTTTATATATCAAAGTTCTCACCTACACATACCTGTCGTGACCATGCGGCCACGTTTGACCGATTTTTGATGCAAAATCCAAAGTTAATGTAGAAATGACGTAATGTTATGTGTGCTGAAGTAAAGCCGATAGTGTACTCACATAGTAAAAATAAATCCAGTTAATCATACAAACGGTAATACTGCTAAACACTGAATTAAATAAATATTGAACAAGTCTATTAAAATTATGTAATAAAATTCACACTGCTTGTGTCAAATGCAACGCTGAATTGAACTTATATCAAGTTACTAGAGTGTCCAGATTAAACCCAATACGATTAATTTACAATCTTTTGATACGGAGAAGCCAATAGTTTCATTTGCATAAACGAATCATAATGAGTTATGGATAACCAAGGGTCACGAAATTAAGAATAATGCATGCGATGCATAAATTGGCATTTGTATTTAAATCTCCTATATTATTTGCTTATTAACAAGAAATGCCAGTTCAATAACAATAACAACAAAAACTACGTCTCTTAATGAACTTATCTCCCTGTTATAAATAAAAGGATTACGTTACGTTGTTATTATTTAATAGTTCTAAACATACGCGAAAATAACCTCCGGATGATGACTTCGTAAACATTCCAAAAACTTAAAATTAGCATCCACCTAGTTCGATGGAAGATGTGGGATCTCAAAGATAATAAAAAAATCACCATTGTTATGCTTAACTTTCTAATCAGCTTATGAAGCGATTATTATGCACATTTAATATACTGGTGTGATCCAGTAGAGGCTTACGTTGGTGACACTAAAGCTTAGACCTCTAATGTTAAAATAGTGAGGTTATCTAAATAGATTTCTTGTTAACTAAATCGCAAATTTGCAGAAAAATAACGTTTTGAATGAATGAACAAACGGATACAAGATCTAAGTACCCTTGACATTTCCTTCGTATATTCCAGGATTATTGATAGACTTCGTTTGAGATGATTCTTATGCATCCATTGCCAACAACTTTTCATATTGTTTGCGATAGGCTTTACTGGGTTTTGTAGATAGCAACTTTTCTTCTGCTTCGGCAACAAACCACTAACCATTGGACGATCTATTATATTTTTCAATCAAATTCATTTAATTTCTAATGACTGTGATTTTAGTAAACAAACCTCAACCTCGAAAAGTCAATAAATACCTTTCCTAATGTTGAGGTGTGCGAATCTCCTTACGTAACATATCGGTAAATGTAATTAACGATTTTTCCTAGGTTTTTCAGTACGCCTATGATTTTGTAAACATTTTCATAAAATTCCTACCACAAATGTAGCACACCTCTAAACGGGCCTGAGGAAAATAAATTGATGTTGAATTTTGCATCTGGGGATCCATTGAACATGAAAATATTAAAACTAAGCAGATTTTTTTTTATTCAATGAATTTTTTTACACAACCCTTCATGCAACATGGATAAAATGATAAATCTCCTAAACTATTTTGACAATAAAGCTGTCATCGTCATCGTCCAATAACAGAGAACGAATTAGCAAAGATTGATTATTAGTGTAATAGGTATTAATTACTTTCAATTAAAAGTTGATTACTTTTTACTCACATTGTAAATTTGTATACATAAAAGACCACATTATATCCGCTCTATTTTTATCATGAGATTATATTAGATCAAAGCATTGCAGATATAAGGTACGGCGTGAACGTTATCCACATTCCCTCGTACCAAGGGGTTTCTTTATGTTGAGGGCCAGATTGTGAAATGTGAAGTCGAAATAACTGAATAACGTGAAGGTGACTACCACTAATACAGTAATAATTTAAACGTGGCTGCAAACTAACAATTGAAGTTATAATAGGAAGGTTCTAAAATTATCAATGGTGAAATGATAAAGGAGTGCAACGAACAAGATTGCGTATCGTAGATAATGAACTTAACCGGAATGCTACACTGAAATTGCAAACTATCCATGGATCCATAATGGATACCCGAAGCAGCGTATTGTTTTAAAAATTGGAGCGTGTTGATTTTCTTTTGCTTGCGGTTTGTTTCAAATGCTCACAATCGTTTATGAATAAGTATTGAATTGTTTGGATGAAAATAGAAATGTTTGATAAGTTCTTCAGAATCATATTCCGCCACAACGTTACGTGAAATCTATTGAGAAGCAGTGTTGTAAAATTTAAATTATAATTTATATAATATAATTTATAATAGTTTATAAATATAATTTATTTATCGTTCCGAATTTTCGACAACTTTCGAGAATATCTTCTACAAAATATACTGTACTATTGAAGCTATTCTATTTTAATTACCATACATTAAAGACCGAATAAATCTTTTAACAAGGTTATGTCTTTGAAAACAATAAAATGCAGTTTTAAATTGTTTATTAATTACAGAAAACTCACTCAAAAATTCGAAAATCAGAATGAAGCATCAAAATCTTCATAAAAATCTAAAACATTCACGAAAATGCAGAAAATTTCACGGTGGGGATCTTAAAATTTTTTATCTTTCCCGAGATCGGGTATATTCAACACTGGACTTTCCAGTTTATACTAGTTTTTAATCGGCCAACCTCCGATTTCGCGAACTTTAACAAGTGTATATTGTGCGAATATACCCGAACATTTCTTGAGATACATAATTCGCTTGGAAATATTTGCACCTTACAATACTATTTAGATGGAATATTTAGACGAATTAGAAAAATAGCAAGCTTAGGTTCTGCAGTCGCAGTCGTTTCCATAGAAACAGCATTGTATTATTTTCTCTTAACGTCCTTTTATTTCGTGCTTAGCGTCCCATTGTAAATAAGTATGACAGATTTCATTAGAATGCGCAATCATCTGTTTCACTTTATCTACACTGACGGTTAAAGTGATCAGTTAATCTACCCTCACGGTCAAAGAGCGACTTAGCCTACCCATTCAAACCTATTAAAATGTTAATTTAACATCTGCTATAAAATAAACTATTAGGAGCTGTTGTGAGAAAACGTGTATTAATGAATTATTCTTAATCCTACTCTGTTCGTCTGCAGATTTGAATTATGCTATTCTTTTGTTTGGACAGCCCATACCTACTACACATCAACAAACAACTGAAAAGCATTTTTTTCTTCAAAGGTTGTTGGGTCGATTATTATGAAAGTGTTTATTATGTTCTAAACTACTCCGGTATTTACCTTACAAATTAGGAAAACTGCAGGAAAACCTATTTCGAGGTAGCCGGCAGAATGCTCGAAACTGATCTAAGGAAATTCCCATCTCTGTCACAGATGAACAATTCTTACCTCAGCCCAGGTTCGAACACCCGACCGCCCAGCGCTACCACTGAACTACATAGTCGGATTATTTTGTACATGACTTAGAAACTTAGAATCCAGGAACGTAGAAATAACCTTCACATCCACTTTACTGTGAACACTGTGCAATAACGAGTGCTAATCAGTCCCGCGGCCAAAATGTCCCGCTGAGAAAGCGTCCCGGCGCCAAGGTGTCCTTGCGCCAAAGTGAGCAGCGCAGGACATCGAACCAAATCAGCAGGCGTCGTTAATTTCTGCACAGCTGAAACCCGGATCGACAGTCACATTTCAGGTCGATAAGGTACAAAATTATATCTTCATTATTTCCGTTTTATGCGAATTATCAGTAAGAGAAACTGAATTGCGTCTACTTTGGCCCGTCTTAATGAACGTTTATTTGATGATTTTACTTGTTTAGCATTAGTTTGTGTACTAAAATTAATTAATTACCTGGCCAGTTGGGCTATCTTTTTGAGTTTAGGCTTTTCTTTTTTTTGAGTTACTGTAAGAGTTTGCTTGATTTAACAGACTAATCCTAATAAATGTATTCTGTTTGAAATAATTTCTTGGAATTATCACATTGTTGACTCTTTATCCAATAAAAAAGGGTTTATTTGTAACTCAATATTCTAATTTCAAATTGAGAGGCCATGTCCAAGAATTGGCCCCTAAGCAACACCGTTGACCGCAATCACTAAGGTAATTTTGAACTAAAAGAAAAAGAAAAGCATAGCAGGTCAATAACACCATTTCAAACAAAAAATGATAGGTCTTGTATTGAATATAATTGTAAAAATGTTGGTATTTTGGATGTGCACTTTTATAATCGCTTTCTTGTTTACAATTTCTAACCCCATGGAACCGATTAGCCAATATCTCAACAATCTTTAACCAATGAGCAATGACCCGAATGTTTACATGATGTTAATCGTAGCTTGTGCTGCATGATAGCGCAGATGTTGTGGATGGCGCGCGTCACCACTGTCAATCAACTATGCAGAACATAGATCAACAGTAAGTCCGCATGTGATAGGTAATTTTTATTCTTCTTATCGCTTATGTAATTTAATAGTATGTGTAAACTGTGTTTTCGTATCCCAATTACAACGTGAATAAGAGTCGACTCATTGAAACTACTCAGGTCAATCATTGTCGAGCTAGGTTGCATCTTCAAACAGAAACTCGATTGTAGTAGCACTTTAAATTTTGATCTGATAAAATATGATTTTCTTGGCAAGAGATCACAGAGATAACCCATGCGAGTAAGCGCAAACATCGCTGATTAATCGCCATTAATTTCTATTAAAAATTTGATAATTTAACACAATTTTTAATTGAGATACTCTATCCTCTTCTTCGTACTTTAGTATCATTAACCAATTTTTCGAATTCTTCATAAAGTTGTTTATTCCATTGATAAATAAATCGATTCCTTTTGGCCAATATCTTTAACTATAATGCATCGCCATGGTTCCAAATTTCCAATGCATTTTTGAAAGCCCAATGGTTCAAAATTCAATTATAAATAATCAGTTAACAATCTACCTCTCTTTTGATCTAACTTCTGATGTTTCTCTATGGTCGTTTTAAACAATGAATAATCTGATCAGTGATCACACGATATTTCACTTCTTATTTTTGACACTACCAAAAAATGTTCAAGCTTCTACAACAACTTCTGCTCATTCTTGAGTCAGTGAATTCTTGATACGCTTTCCGTAATGCAAGACTTTTTTTGCCTTCGGTAGTGTACACAAAGTGCATCATTTCCTGAGAACGGTGTATCTTTTTTTTAAATAGTTCTCTTATTTATGTGAATCACGAAGCATTCGAGATGAAGGAGAAATTAAAAGACAAGTCAACTGGAGCTAGCTAGAAGATCTTAACAATTTGATTTTTTTCAGATCTTCCATAGGGGAACGGGAGGTAAGATGACGAACGCTTTTTTTCTAATAACTAACAAAAAAATGGTTTTC